CCCCATGCTCTGGGGAAGGGACGGGCTGGAGACCAAGCCTCTGTGATGGAGCCTCCGTGAAAAGCCAGAACAGCGGGCATGGTGGCTGACACCCGTAATCTCAGCACTTGGGAGGCGAGGGTGGACAGATCATGAGGTCAAGAGATCGAGATCATCCTCGCCAGCATGGTGAAACCCCGTCTGCACTAAAAATACCAAAACTATCTGGGCGTGGTGGTAGGTGCCTGTAGTCCCAGCTACTCAGGAGGCTGAGGCAGGCGAATCGCTTGTACCCTGCAGACAGAGGTTGCAGTGAGCCGAGATTGCACCGCTGTACTCCAGCCTGGCATCAGAGTGAGACTGTCTCAAAAAAAAAAAAAAAAGAACAATGGGTTTCCGAGAGTGTCTGGGCCGGCGGGTGGTGCCCAGAGGGCATGGGAGCTGCACACGCCATCTCCACACCTTGCCCTGGGCATCTCCGCTGCCTGAGTTGTCTCCTTGAGTAATAAGCCAGAAGTGGCCGGGCACAGTGGCTCATTCCTGTAATCTCAGCACTTTGGGAGGCCAAGGCGGACAGATTGCTTGAGTTCAGGGGTTCAAGACCAACCTGGGCAACATAGCCAGATCATCTCTACAAAAAATACAAAAATTAGCTGAGTGTCTTGGCTCGTGCCAAGTAGTCCCAGCTGCTTGGGAGGCTGGGGTGAGAGGCTTGCATGAGCCCAGAAGGCGGAGAGGTTGCAGTAAGCTAAGGCTGCACCACTGCCCTCCAGTCTGGGTGACAGCACCAGGCCCTGTCTCCAAATGTAAAATTTTAAAAAATGTATAATATAAAATATTCTGCTGAGGGAGAGCATGAAAAGCCACTAGGAGGAAGCAAACAGTCGTTCCAGTCTCTGGGAGCTGTTCTAGCACCTGATGGACCCTGCGGAGAGGGTCACCGGGCCTTGCATTTGTCATAGCCAAGGTACCCGCCCCACATGCCTGGCGTCTGAAGTCAGGGCAGTCACGGGCAACCGGGCCCTTATCCTCACCCCGAAGTGAAGTGCCAGAGGCATTGTGAGTTACAGTCTAGTGGAAAAACTATTTCCCCCATACACCCAGCTTCTCTGGCCTCGGGCTGCACCTCCTTCTTCCGCGTTTAACGCCCCTGACCCTTTCCACATTTGGGGTGATTGAGTCCCTGGGCTTGGCCAGTGTGCACCTCACTCAGCTGCCAGGGACCTGACCTCGCTGGGTGGAAGAGAAGCTGGTGACGGCAGCACACGTCCCCGACACTGCACCCTCTCTTGCTGAGAAGAGCCCCCAGCATCAGCTGGTGCAGTGACATCAAAGACTACATTTCCCAGCCTCCCCTGCTGCCAGGCGTGGTCACATGGAAAGAGGGAAGATGGAGCCAGTGAACTGGGTGGGAATTCTGAGAAGTCTCCACACAGGGGTGGGGCCACGCTCTGCTCTCCTCTGCTCCGTCCTCATTCCTGGAACACAGATGTGAAAGCTGGAGCTCAGGTTGCCATCAGGGACCATGAGGCTGGGGGCTTCCCATGGCTGTGGATGCTGCCATGTCAGCCCTGAGGAAGAGAAAACTCTCGTGGGTTAGGTGGATTAGGCATGGTCGCCTGGAGTTTCTGGGGTCGCAGGCAGCCTCTCCTGGGCCTCACTAGGACACATTATGACTCTGTTGAAACTGCAACTCATGACTCACACTGAGGTATGCCCTGGTCAAGGAGTTTCAGAATTATCCAGTTCTTGGGTTGATGCTTCTAGAAAGCCCCTATCTTCTCTTCTCTCTCCAAAACTTCCCTGAAAACCCCTTCCCTGGCTGGAACCTGGGGCCTCTTGCCTTCTTACGAGAGTGGCTGTCCCCCACAGAAACCCCAGGGTACTTCTGCCTTTCTTCTTCCCGCTTGGCCTGCCATCCTGTCCCCACCCCCGGCTTGTATCACCAACACCCCCGGGTGGGGGAGTCCAGGACAGAGCCCTCCCCCAAGAGAGTGAGCAGGGAGTCAGAGAAGGCTGGGAACCCTTCTTCTGAGGGAAGGAATCACCATCAGAACAGAGGTCTCTGACGAGGCATGAATACAGACACACCTGACGGAGGGGGGCTCCGTGCCTGGAAACTGACATGGCACAGGATTTGCCCCATAATTGTCAGCACAGAGGCAGAGTGGACCACTTGTCAAATCTGGGACAATTGAGCATCAAGAATAATGAATGATTAGGGGCCAGGTGTGATCTCAGAACTTTGGGAGGCTGAGGCAGGCAGATCACCTGAGACCAGCCTGACCAACATGGTGAAACCCCGTCTCTACCAAAAATACAGAAACTAGCCAGGTGTGGTGGCAAGTGCCTGTAATCCCAGCTCCTTGGGAGGCTGAGGCAGGAGAATCGCTTGAGCCCAGGAGGTGGAGGTTGCAGTGAGCTGAGATTGCACCATTGCACTCCAGCCTGGGTGACGGAGAGAGATGCCATCTCAAAATAATAATAGCAATAATTGTGACTAGGTGTGACAGAAGCACATTGAAGACCTAAACTTCCGTGAATCCCACACGCCCCTGTTTTACAGCAGAATGATTTGCAGCAGCCAGGAGACGTCCACCCATCAACACAGGAATGGCTAAACAGACACGCAGGGATGTCATTTAGCCTTAAAAAGGAAGGAAATTCTGACACGGGCTGCAACAGGAATGAGCCTCGAGGACATCACACTAAGTAGAACAAGCCAGACATCAGGACCGAGCATGTGTGATCGCGCTTCTCACGAGGAAAACTGAGTAGCCGCATTTGTAGAGACAGGAGGTGAAAGGGCGGCTGCGGGCTGGGCGCAGGGAGGAGTGGGAAGTGACTGTATCGAGGACAGGTTCCATTTTGCACTGTGAGACGTTTCAGAAGACAGACGGTGGGGTGGCCGTGCGGCAGGTGAAGGTGCCCGTACACTTAGAAATGGCTAAGATGGTAATTTTTAGGGTGTGTCGGTTTTGCAATAAAATAAATATTGAAGAGTGCTTAGTAATCGAGAGAGAAATAAATAAATCTGAATCCTGCTCACCACTGCAGGGGCCACGTGCTTCTGTTAGGAGCCAACGCAGTCCCCCGGGGATGAGGGGAAGCTCTTGGAAAACTGCCCCTTAGCACATCTAAGGAAGCAGCTGGTGGAGTGGGATTTGAGTGGGTGGGCAGGCTCCAGACAGGCTGACCAGGGTGCCAGGGGACCCCACTCAGGCCTCCCACGCTGAGCACCCGCGCCCTCCGAGGAACAGCCGGACTGATGCCATGTGGGCCTCCTGGCATGGGGTGACATCTGCAGAGGTCCCCAGTCAGACAGGCTGCCCTGAGCCTCACCAATGCTTTCAAACCCACTTCCTCGGCGTCTCGGCCCACTTTCTGTTAGAATACTTCAGACTGGGAAGCTCACAGTGGAAAGACACCTTTCCCATCTGTTTTAGAAGCCGGGAGTTTTCCGTGAGGCCACAGTCCTTGCATCCTATTGGATGAGGGCCCACCCTCCTGACCTCATTAACAGAATGACCTAGAAGGCCATCCGGAAACACTCTCATTGTGGATTCCACTTTTAACATGTGAACTTCTGGGGCACAGGTTCACACCACAGCCCCAGGTACAGGAAACAGGAGGCAGAGGCAAGACTCAGCCAAGCAAATCCAGCGGGGGACAGTTACAGACAACTGCCAGGTGGCTTCAACGGCCAATCCTGTGGGTTAAAGAAGGCGGGCACCAGCCGGGCACGGTGGCTCACGCCTGTAATCCCAGTATTTTGGGAGGCTGAGGTGGGTGGATCACCTGAGGTCAGGAGTTTGAGACCAGCCTGCCCAACATGGTGAAACCCCATCTCTACTGAAAATACAAAAATTAGCCGGGCGTGGGATGTGCGCCTGTGATCCCAGCTGCTCAGGAGGCTGAGGCAGGAGAATCGCTTGAACCCAGGAGGTGGAGGTTGCAGTGAGCCAAGATCACGCCACTTCACTCTAGCCTGGCGACAGAGCAAAACTCAGTCTCAAAAAAAAAAGAGGAAAAAAAAAGGGTAGGCACCCCTCTGACAGAAAGAGACTTAAAGACTTAAGGAAATGATGCTTTCTTTCTAAATACAGTTTCACAGGCACCTCCTCTGGCCAAGCTCTGCCCAGAGCTGAAAGTGGACACAGCGGCCCCAACCTCCCTGGGTCCCTGAGTCAAACAAGAAGGACCCCCAGGGCGGGAGTGACAACATGACCTTTGGGTCCTAGCACCTCCTGTGCCCACCTGGCCCCACCCTGTCTGTCTGCCCTGTTGCCCAGGAGCTTCGCTATGGCTGAGACTCTTGGGCAGCTCAAATGCCACCTCTGTGCCAGCCTGGATGGGGGCCTAGGACCCCACAGCTCTGTCTGTTGCTCTGCCCTCGCCTCCCCTCCACTCCAGCTCTGCCCAGTGGGGTCCTGGCCTGGCCAGTTGCCTCCATAATGGAGACCTGCCCAGAGCGATGCAGGCATGGTGTACGGTGGCTCCCTCCAGGGTCACCTCGGTGCTGGACGTGTGCTGATCCTGTGCTGGGCAGCCTGCATCTGTCTTGGTGCCCTGTCTTGGCAAGGGCACACCACCCTGAGCAATAGGCTTAGATGTGCCTGGGACCCCACATCAAGCCGTGTTCACTCCCTGTCACCTGCCTGTTACCGGAGGTGCATTTGGGGATTCCTGCCCCAGCCCCCACCGCTCCCCGAGCCTGGCTGCCTGCTCCCCACATCACCCATTCTCCACACATTCACCCTTGCCTAGGGCCCTGGACAGACCTTGGCAGGCTTCCAGAGCTGGCTGCTCAGGGTTGTTCGTGCCAGGCAAGAGCAAGGCCCCGTGTCCGCCCGGGAGCCCGGGAGGTGGAGCAGCCTTGCTGGCCCGATGCCCAGGGCTCTTCCGGGGTTCCCTTGCCCCATCCTCCCAGGTCCTTCCAGCTTTGCCCCCTGACATGTCCTGCTCTGACCTCCCCTCCTTTATTCCTGGCCTCGTGTCCCCGGGTCCAGGCCTTCGCAGACCGACTGGACAAGTTGGCAAGCAACCACTGACTCTGGCTTCTGGAAGGAGAGGTCCAGACGGGCCAGGACGATGGCTGCTGAAGCCCTGGACATCAGGGCAGTTTCTGCTGCACACAGCAGGGGTGAAGCTGCCGCCATGTCTGCAGCTGGGCCCTCACCACTGCCGTGCCTGGGCCGCAGGGAGTGTTATTGAGCCTGACTCAGCCCTGGGATGTTCTGGTGATTTCCTGTCTGAAACTTGCTCTCTTGCTGGGAGGGGTTCTCTGGGTATGAATCGCTTTGCCGGGGTCAGGGCAGGGAGAGCCAGCTCTGTGACAGGCTTCTCAGAGAAAACACCTTAGGTGCCGCAAAGCCCGGGGCGGACCCCACTGGTCCTGGAGGCCCTGTGGGACTCGGCAGGGCCGGTCCACACCCACTAGGCTCCCAGTGTTTGTACTCCCAGGCTCCTGCCCACCCCCCACCCCAGCCTGATTCTCCCCGTAGCAGAGGCAGGGGAGCCCATACATGACCGCCAACCCCCAGCTCATACCCACAGCTCCTGCCACACAAGGGGCCCAACTTTCCTTTCCCAGACCCCAGTGAAGGCCCCAAGAAGGGGATCCAGCTGACCTCATTTGAATCAGCTATTCCCGGACAGCCTAGCAAAGGCCAGAAGGCACGGAGGGTGACAATGACCTGAGCTGGGTCCGGGGGTCACTCCTGGACCCCTCAGCTGGGGGTGCAGAGGAGCCCTGGGGAGCATGACAGACCACCCAGAGGGGCGCAGGGAAGGGCAGGTCCCGGGGGCTGCTGGGGCCACCGACAGGAACCAACAGCTGTCCCTGGCCATCACCCTCGCTGGCCAATGTGCGCTCTGCCTGTTGCTGCTCCAAGGGTGGGGCTGTCCTGGCCCAAAGACCTGGGAGGCCAGTGGCCCCAGGAGCAGTGGCCTGTGGGAGGCGTGTTTGCACCAGATCCCCACAGGATCACAGCCCCCCAGGCCAGCGTTTCTGGAAAGCCAAGGTGGTCCCTGCTCTGAGACCTGCACCTCTCCGCTGGGGTGGGGCGAGCCCAGCTTTCGAGGGACTCCACTGCCACACAAGCAAAGCCTCCGAAATCGCTGTGCAGAGGCAGCCTCCAGCCACACGGTCTGCAGCAGGGGCAGCTGTGATCCACGTGGCTGGGGGAAGGTTTGGCTGGGGGCTCAGCCTCCACCCGGCTCTCCTGCCTGAGCCCACCCAAACAGCATCGTGAGGTCTTAGCTCAGTGAGTCCCTGCTGCAGTGCTGGGCATTGTCACTTGGAGACATTTGTGGGCCCAGCTCCTTCCCCCAGCCTGGCGCTGCCCCCATTGCTGAAAGAACCTGGGTTGGACGGGAGTGGGCACCCAGGGAGTCTCTGCCCTAAAACCCAGAAGCAGCCTGGGGGTGACTGGGGCTGTGGGTGCTGTCCACAGTCAGGTGTCATCTTTCAAGGACATCAGGCCCATCAGGGCCAGGAGTACCACAGTGAGGGAGACTGTCCCAGGTGCCCCACCTGCTACCCTCCAGTTCCCACAGGCCCCTCGCAGAGAAGGCCACCCGCAGGGCCCTGGGCAGGCCAGCCTCGGTTCTGGATGAAGGAGGGCTTGGGGTAGGGCTGGGCAGGAATGTGGAGCGTGTGTCAACTGCTCTTCCCACAAGGCCCTGCCCCAGGGAGAGGGAGGCGGGGAGGGGAGGTCGCTGGTGTGCAGGGTCTGTGCCTGGCCTTCCGGGACATGCAGGTACCATCCTGGTCCTGGGCTGCAGTGAGCACACTCCGCCACTCCACTTCTGGTGCCCCAGACAGGTGGGAGGACATAGCCTCTGGGAAGCCACCTGCTCTGTGCCTGCCTGCCCTGAGAGCCGGCAGCACCAGGCTGAGCTGCAGAGGAGCTGGATTTGTCTTTCCAGGACCCCGCGTGCTGTGTGTCCTGCCATGACTATCTGGGGACACAAAGGTCCCCGCCCCTGCCTGGGAGCTCCTGAGTGAGTGGAGCCCACTATAAGCATGTTTTTTTTCAAGAGAGGTGGGTCTGGGGTTTCCTGCCACTCCCGCCCCAGGAAGGTGACGAGACCACACTATAATCATCAGCAAGACACCCCAGCCCTGGTTGGCCAACCCCAAGCTCAGCCCTGTTTGTGGTTAGGGGAGTTCTAGAGAGAACATAGTTGGACCCCTGCTACTTCCTGAAACCTCAGTGAGGACTGCAGGGAGGGCACGAGGCCAGCCGTGCAGGCGGGACCTTGGGTAAGTCACTGGGCTCTGCGCGCTGGGGCGGGAGCCTGTGGGGCCAGGCCCTGGGATGGGGCTGGGGGCTGGGAGCAGGGGATGGGCAGCAGGGGACCTGAAGGCAAAGGTGATTTGTTGGTACAGATGGAGGCTTTGTTGAGGGTTCTCAATCTGGGGTCTTCCCAAGAGAGAACTGAGGACCCCCAGTGACCACAGGTGTGGTGGGGCCGGAGGAATTGGGGGGCCAGGACAATGGTTTCCATTAAATCTTTGTGGCTGCCACCTTCCCCAAGACTTGCTTCTGGAAAAGGCTTGCCTTGGCTACTGGTTCGGACGGTGGTGAGTCAGGGGACAGGACTTTGTCCCTGAAACTTCTCCTTGGCCACTTGCTTCCGTGACTGCTGGGGGCATTGAGGCGCCGGGCTTCTCTCTGGGGACTGTGCTGCTTTTGGGGTTACATGGAGGGAGAAGCAGGGTGTCGGGGGCTGTGCCGGGGTGAGGGGCAGTTAGTCTAGACGTGTGGCAAGATCCTGGGGCTGGGCAGGTCACAGGCCTCCAGGGCGGCGTCATGCGCACCCGGCACAGTGTCTGTGTGCGGGTTGGGGGGGCCGTACATTCTGTCGAGTGCAGGATGTGCAGTTATACCAGGGGCTGAGACTAACGCTGAAGACTGGCCAGTCGGGCTGGGCACAAAATGACGTTTCAGGAGATTGGCCTGAGAGATGGGAGGGCAGAGAGTCTTGGAAGAAGACAGGATGGGGATGGGATAAGGTAAGGACTCAGAATGCCTGAAAGACTCACCTCACCAGCAATCTCTGAAGGGTACATTTAAAAAATCTATCAGACTGGGGCCGGGCGCGGTGGCTCATGCCTGTAATCCCAGCATTTGGGAGGCCAAGGCGGGTGGATCACTTGAGGTCAGGAGTTCAAGACCAGCATGGCCAACACGTTGAAACCCCATCTCTACTAAAAACAAAAAAATGAGCCGAGCATGGCGGCTTGTGCCTGTAGTCCCACCAGAAGAATTGCTGGAAACCAGGAGGCAGAGGGTGTAGTGAGATCGAGCCATTGGGCTCCAGCCTGGGCGACGAGAGCTAGACTCCATATCAAAGAAAACCAAAAGAATCTATCAAATTGGAGGAGCCGGGTGTTGGACCTGGTGACTCAGTAGCTCCCTCCCTGGGATTTGTCTCAAATGTGACGCAGAAACGAGGTCACAGGTTTGCCTGGCGCCAAAGCAGGTGGGAGTGAAAGATGGAAATGACCAGGAATGCCCAGCAACCGAGAAACAGCTTAGAAATTACAGGCAAACCCACAAGACAGACCTCAGCAGCCTTAGGAGCTGTTTGCAGCCAGCGGGTGGAATGAGGAACTGCTCCCTGCACATGGCGGGGGCCAGGGCTCCTTCTCCGTCCTTTTCTGTCTGTCTGAAAAGTTCCATAATAAAATGAAAGTGGTGGCACACACCTGTAATCCCAGCACTTTGGGAGGCTGAAGTGGGCAGATCGCTTGAGCCCAGGAGTTTGAGACCGGCCTGGGCAACATGGCAAACCCTGTTTCTACTAAAAATACAGAAAAAAAGAATTAGCCTGGCATGGTGGCACGCCTGGCATGGTGGCACCCCTGTCAAGTCCCAGCTACTCAGGAGGTTGAGGAAGGAGAATCGCTTGAACCTGGGAGGTAGAGGCTGCAGTGAGCTGAGATCGCAGCACAGCACTCCAGCCTGGGTGACAGAGCGAGACTCCATCTCAAAAAAGAAAGAAAAGGAAAGAAACAAAGAAAGAAGGAAGGAATGAACACAGGTTCACGGAGGAAGCACAGAAGTGTGTGCTGAGAGTGAGGCGAGGCAGGCTGGACACGGGAGAGAGAGCAGCGGAGGGCTGGCCTCAGGGGCTGCCAAGGTGTGGCTTGAAGACGAAGCTGGACCAGGACACAGTTGCCCAGCATGGAGGCTGGGAGATGGGGCTGTGGTTGTGTGCTGAGGGGAGGTGGAGGCAGGGCCAGGGCCAGCAGGGGCGGGAGATGCAGATGGGGCTCGGGTGGGTGGACGGGGTTGTCAGGCTGACCTGGGCCCACCCACACTGTGGTCTTGTGGCTGGAGTCATCTGAGGGACCTCGCCATGGCCATCGTGTCTGGCCACGCTGCCCTGAATCCAGTTGGAGTTGGATAGTGATGGGCCCTCAGCCTGTCATAGTCCCTCAGAGCAGACCAAGGACAGAGCCCCTGAGTCCACCAGGCCAGGCTGGCGTTGCTGGTGCTGTGGGCATGGTGGGCTGGGGCACCTTGCTGCTGATTGAGGAGAGGGAGGCTGCACGGAGGGCCATTCCCACAGGGCTTATTCCTCCCAACCATGCACTCTGCAGCTGAGAGGAGCCCCGCCAGTGGGCCCGACAGTTGGGGCGATGAGAAGAAGCCAACCCCATGCACAGCTGGAGGGCTCCTCCCACACCAGGAGGGTGGCACCTGCTTCCTGATGTGGGACAACACAGGAAGCCTCTGCTTGGCCTTGTCCCTCCACCTGAAGACCCAGCCCCGGGGAAGCCGAGAGAGGCCCCGGGCCCCACTGCACCCTCCCTGAGGAAGAGCAGTGCCTGAAGCGCAGGTGACCTGCTGTGCCCTGTGCCCCTTTCTGTGGAGGAAATAGCCCTGGCCACTGACTGGGATAGGCCAGGACATGGCAGCTGGCAGGTGGGGCCTCTGGGTTGGCTGGCAAGAGGACCCTGAGCCCCCATCCTGGGCTCGCTCACCTCGAAAAGAGGCAGAGGCTCCCAGAGGCAGCAGGAGTGACAGGTGCGGTGCCAGGGTGGTGGGCAGGAGTGACAGGTGCGGTGCCAGGGTGGTGGGCAGGAGTGACAGGTGCGGTGCCAGGGTGGTGGGCAGGAGTGACAGGTGCGGTGCCAGGGTGGTGGGCAGGAGTGACAGGTGCGGTGCCAGGGTGGTGGGCAGGAGTGACAGGTGCGGTGCCAGGGTGGTGAGCAGGTGCTGGCGGAACCCCGAACCCTGGTCCAGGAAGGCCCTTGAGGAGGATGGTGACGAAGCCTGGTGGTGGCTGGTGCAGGGGAACTGGGAGGTCCAGGTGGTGGTGAGGAGTGGGACCCGGTACAGGGGAACTGGGAGGTCCAGGTGGTGGTGAGGAGCGGGACCTGGTGCAGGACCCGCGTCCAGGTGGGAGGCTGGTGCCAGGGCTGCCCACCGCTCCCCGCCCCCCGCTTGTTCTCCTGCTGGGCCCACTGACTCTTTCCAGGTATCCTCTCCAGGCTGTAGGGCCCGAAGGTTAGGCGCGTGCCAGGATCTGGGCATTGGCAGCCCGGGCTGTGTGGACCACATGGGATGGGCTTGACAGGCAGGTGGCTCCGGAACCCACCCTGGGCCAGTCTCTGCTCTCAGCATATGGGCAGAGGGGCCTCGTTGTGAGAGACTGCCGGTCGCTGGGCCGGGAGGGGAGTGTGCGTTTTCAGCTCAGCCGTCACTTCCTTTGGTTTTGCAGAAGTGCTTGTGCCCAGGGTCGCTGGCTGGCATGGGGGAGGACTGGGCAGCCCAGCCCTGTACCAGCAAGAGCGTGTCCTCCCAGGTTTGGGAGGGTTTCCAGGACCCTTGGTCCAGTTACAGTGAGGGAGGCAGACTCCCTGGGAGCCCCTCCCTGGGCGGCTCAGCCGTTCTGATGGGGCCCAGGGGCCTCAGCGGGCTTACTCCTGCTCATTTGCGGGGAGAGGCCCTGCCTCGTGTTATTTAGAATTTGAAAGGCAGGGAAGGGCCGGAGCGGGTGAGGAGTGGGTGGTGAGGAGCGGGACCCAGTGCAGGACCCGCGTCCAGGTGGGAGGCTGGTGCCAGGGCTGCACAATTGGGGTAGACACCAGGGAGCAGGAGTGTGCAGGCCTCCAGGGCCGCTGCACGGGCTCGGCTGCTGAGGAGGGAAGCCCCCACAGCCCTGGGGCTCAGAGGGGCTGGACTGGTTCCAGGAGGCTCTGGCGTGCCCCAGCCCACTTGGCCCCTCCACCACTGGGGTCGGCCTTCCTTGGCCCTTCTGGTTCCAGCTCACTGCTTCCTCACCTACTGACCCCCTCTGTTTTGGGCATGACCAGAGAACCCTGTATCTCTTGCTGGGCCTTGGAGCTGGGCACAGCAACCAGAAGACACAGCCACATGGATCCTGACGAAGCAGCAGCTGGGAGGGCAGCGCCGGGCACACAGACCCCTGAGGGAGGGTCTGAAGACCCCTAGCGCCATCCCACCACCTCCACCCAGGGGGTCACCACACCACCTCCACCCAGGGGGCCACCACACCACCTCCACCCAGGGGGACACCCTGCCATCTCCACCCAGGGGGTCACCACACCACCTCCACCCAGGGGGACACCCTGCCATCTCCACCCAGGGGGCTGGCCCGAGACGCAGGGAGGAGTGGATACTGACTCCAGCCACTGGCAGGGTAGGGGCAGAATCAGGAGGCCCAGGGCCCCTCTGGCCACACTGCCTGTCCTGGGAGGGGACTGACTGCACTTACTGGCTTCCTGTGAGAGTCGCAGCTGACAGAGGGCAGCACCGGGCAGTGTGGAGTGGGGGATGGGCCTGGCACTAGGCAGGCAGGATTGGAGACAGTAAGGCAGCTGCCAGGCTCAGCCTCCATCCTTGCATGGGGTCCAGAAACAGCAGGGCGAGACCCTCAGGCTTTGCAGGGCTCTGGGCGAGGCATAAACACATCTGAGGGTTTAGGGCACTCGCCTCCCTGCAAACCCTCTTTGACTGCTCAGGATGGTGCCTGTTTTCTAGGCACCTCAGGTTAGGGAATGAAGCAGAGGGACAGGCCCCTGGGTGCCCTGAGCCATCTGCTGGCCACCCCCATGTCTCCTCCTCCAACCCCTCATGCCGTGGGTGACACAGCTTCCAGGCCAGGTGCACACTATACCTTGGGTAGTTACTTCACCAGGAAAAATTCCTAGAAGGGGTTTAGCCGGGTCAAAAGTTAAAGCATGAAGATTTTCGGAAACATGCCTCCACGCTTTGCCGCAAGCCGCTCACGCCCCATCAGTCCCGTAGGACACTCGCCTTCGCTCACACACTGTGAATTTAAAAGTTCTTTCTTTTTGCCAACATGGTAGGCCAAAAAGATTTTAAAGGACTGCCTTTCGGATGTTCGTGTTTGCATTTCCTTGATTAGAAGTGGAGTTGAGCATTTTTCACATTTTAGAATTTTTTTTTTGAGACGGAGTCTCTCTGTCGCCCAGGCTGGAGTGTAACAGCGAAATCTCAGCTCACTGCAACCTCCGCCTCCTGGACTCAAGCGATCCTCCCACCTCAGCCTCCCGAGTAGCTGGGACTACATGTGTGTGCCATCGTGCCTGTTTATATTTTTGTGGATATGGGGTGTCACTATATTGCCCAGGCCGGTCTTGAACTCCTGGACTCAAGCGATCCTCCCACCTCAGCCTCTCAGAGTGCTGGGATGTACAGGTGTGAGTTACCATAACCAGCCTTTAGGGCTATTTTTATGTCTTCTGTGAAAGCTCATCAGCTTTCTTTTCTCTCCCAGCACTTTCAGAGGCCAAGATGGGCAGATCACCAGGTCAGGAGATCAAGACCATCCTGGCCAACATGATGAAACCCCATCTCTACTGAAAACACAAAAATTAGCTGGGCATGGTGGCACATGCCTGTAATCCCAGCTCCTTCGGAGGCTGAGGCAGGAGAATCACTTGAACCAGGGAGTCGGAGGTTGCAGTGAGCTGAGATCGCACCACTGCACTTTAGCCTGGCAACAGAGCAAGACTTTATCTCAAAAAAAAAGATATAGCGGACACACAAGAATCGTACATAGGACAGGTGCAGTGGCTCACGCCTGTAATCCCAGCACTTTGGGAGGCCGAGGTGGATAGATCATTTGAGATCAGGAGTTCAAGACCAGCCTGGCCAACATGATGAAACCCTGTCTCTATTAAAAATACAAAAATTGGCCAGGCACAGTGGCTCACGCCTGTAATCCCAGCACTTTGGGAAGGTGGATCACCTGAGGCCAAAAGTTCGAGACCAGCCTGGCCAATGTGGTAAAACCCCATCTCTAGTAAAAATGCAAAAACTAGCTGGGTGTGGTGGTGTGTGCCTGTGATCTCAGCTACTTGGGAGGCTGAGGCAGGAGAATCGCTTGAAGCCAGGAGGCGGACTTTGCACTGAGCCGAGATCGAGCCATTGTACTCCAGCCTGAGCAACAGAGAGCAACTCCGTCTTTAAAAAAAATATGAAAATTCGCTGGGCATGGTGGCGGGTGCCTGTAGTCCCAGCTACTCGGCAGGCTGGGGCAGGAGAATCACTTGAATCCGGGAGGCAGAGGTTGCAGTGAGCTGAGATTGCGCCACTGCACTCCAGCCTGGGCAACACAGCAAGACTCCGTCTCAACAACAACAACAACGAAAAGAATCGCACAAAGTCATGGTGTGTGACGTGACGTTCTGGCGCCTGCTGGCTTGGAGCCTTGCCTCTGTTTCCCCTGTGGGATGCAATGGCACATCCTTACCTTTAAAAAACACCTGCAAATCAACGAGGCACTTAGTCAATCAGGAAATACTAGCCGTTTTGTCAATGAATTAATTTGTGGTTTCATCTGATTTCCCTAAAGCAATCTCAACCTACTGTTTCTCCAGGTCCTTTTAAGCTCTCAGAGTGAACGTCGTGGTAGGACCGACAAGACGCATGACATGCACTTAGGAAGCTTATTTTAGAGCCAGACTGAGATCGGAACCAGCACGTATGTCAGGTGAGAGAGCCTTCTCCGACTTCGAACGTGTAAGAAGTTTTCTAGGAAGCAGGTTGTCTCATAATTCAAAAATTAACACATAAAAACAGATGATCAAGATAAAAACTGGCACAGCAATAATAAATGTAGAGGCGCTCCATGGAGCAATGGACTGATCTCATAATTCTTTCTCGAGGTTCTAGGAAGCCGGCAACAGAAATGAGGGCATAATTGGTGGCTCCTGGGAGGGTGGCACAGCACCGAGTCAGAGCTGTCCCACAGGAGCCCTGCACGGTCCGGGCCATGAGGAGCTGACCGCCACCTCTCCCCATCCATGTGTCCCCTGGTACTGTTGCCCCTACTTCTGACCCACCAAGAAGATGCTCTTCCCGGGAGGTCACTCGTGGGTGTGGGGCAGTGGAGGACAGCCTCCTCACCAGATGGGCACAGACAGCAAGACCTGGTGTCCAGAGGTGAATGTCCCAAGGCTTCGTGAGGCCTGGAGCAGGGGGCGTGGGACTGAGGGGCACTGAGGCCCTGACTGAGACCACACAGGTGACAGTGTGTGGGGTCGGGGAGGCACCACAGCGGCTCTGTGTGGGCTAAGGCTGGGAGGGGCCCCTCTGGCCACCCTGGTCTTGCCGGGGTCTCCCCTTGTGTTTTGGATTCTGGAACGCTCTACCTCCCAGGGCGTGCGACTGTCCTGATGGACACAAGGCGTGTGGGGGGCGGAAACTGCCTCTGAGCTCAGGACTCACACAGCAAGGCTGGGGCACTGGTTTGATGGGAAAAGGGCGGTTTGGGTGAAGAACAGTGTGTGCAGACACAGGTGTTGGGCCTCCCCCCCCCACCCGAGAACTGTCTCCACTGCCCCCCGCCACAGCCCCCTGTCTTGAGTGAAGTGGTGACAACTGGATGTGAGGCAGCTCAGTCACACCCACCCTCTACCCTTCCCAGGGAGAAGGGTGAGCCAGGGGCAGGCCACTCACACCCAGAGAAACCAGACAGGGGCAGGGAGGCTGTGGGGAGACGGAAGCCCTGCACACTGGGGCAGAAGATGGGGCAGCCCGGCCACCGTGGGGGACAGCGAGGGGCGCCCCAGATGAGACGGAACTGCTGTGAGACCCAGCAATTCCAGCTCTGGGTCTGACCCAGGAGAACGGAAAGCAGTGACGTGAACGGACCCCGTCGTGTTCCTAACAGTGTAATTCCCAGCAGCTCAGCTAAGGTGCAGAGGCAGCCCAGCGTCCATGGGCAGGGCAATGACAAGCAGAACACGGCACATGCCAGGTTTGGAGGATGTTCAGGGGAAGGCCACGATGGAATATAGCGATTTTTATACTTTTGGTGAGACCCCGGAAGGAACACTGAATGCAATGGAATGCCAGCCTGCCTTTGAAAGGAAGGGCAATCCTGGCACACGCCGAGACACGAGGGAGCTTGAGGACACCGTGGCAATGGAGCCAGTGAGACACGGAGGGGCAGGCCAAGGACATGCACAGATGCCCACGCACGTGGGGAGCTGGCAGGGAGCCCAGCACACAGACACAAAGTGGAGTGGAGGCTGGGTGGCGGGGAGCACATGTGGAGTTAGTGCTTCCTGGGGGCAGGTGAGAAGGTTCATTCATTCGGGAAGATGAGAAAGTTAGGAAGCCGGTGATAGGCACCGATGGTGGATGTGCTGATCAGAAATGGTTACAACGGTACATCCTTGTTATGTGTATTTTACCACAATTTTTCAATTTTTTTTCCTTGAGATTGAGTCTCGCTCTGTCACCCAGGCTGGACCAAGAGGTCAAGCACGATCTTGGCTCCTTATAGGTTCCGCCTCCCAGGTTCAAGCGATTCTCCTGCCTCAGCCTCCTGAGTAGCTGGGATTACAGGCACGCACCACCACGCCTGGCTAATTTTTGTATTTTCAGTAGAGATGGGGTTTCTCCATGTTGGTCAGGCTGATCTCAAACTCCTGACCTCAGGCAATCTGCCCGCCTCAGCCTCCCAAAGTGCTGGGATAACAGGCATGAGCCACCGAATTTCTTAAATGGACAAAAACAAGTGACCAGGCTGAGGCAGGAGAATCCCTTGAACCCGGGAGGCAAAGGTTGCAGTGAGCTGAGATTGCACCACTGCATGCCAGCCTGGGCATCAACAGCGAGAGACTCCATCTCAAAAAAAACAAGTGAGCAGCACAATGGGGGCTCAGGGCCGGCTGTGTTCGGGGTGACTTGCCCCATTGTGCTGGAGGCCAACAGGCCCTCAAGCCCCCGAGAGAGGTCAAAGGACCTACAACATCCTCCTGTGGAAGGTTCCTGAGGCCAGGAGGCTGGACAGGGCTGGGACCCTCGCCCCGTGCCAGGGCACAGCCGAAGTTTTCCCCTGGAGCTGCTGTAGCCAGAGAAGTGCGGAGACGCACCGAGCATCCCCTGGGCGCCAAGGGCAGGTCTGTCCACTGCTGCCTGCTGACCTGGAGGTGAGGGTTCCGTGGTCTGTAACCAGAGAGGCACAGAAGCATGAACACAGCCGGCTTGTGGAGCCGGGACACCAGAGCGTGAGGTCACACCCTGCATGACCCGCCAGCAGCCCCCGGCTGGAGGGGATGAGTCTCTGACCCCGGAGAGCTGTGACTGGGGCAGTTGCTGAGATTGCTTTGGTGTCCTTTCCTTTTGCCCTCTCGCATATTTAAGGACCTTTGTGATTACTTCAGGACCACCAGATGGTCCAGAATAATCTCTGTATTTGACTGTCAGCTAGTTAGCACTCTTCATTCAACTCGCCGCCTCAGCTCCCCTGTGCCACGTAACCTATGATCTTTACATGTCCCAGGGATTAGTTTTCAGACGTCTTCTGGGTGGGGTCATTATTCTGCCTACCACGGCGAGGAGGAGTATCACCTGACACAGTGAGAAGAGGGTCAGCCCACAGGAGGACAGAGCCATGTATGAACAACAGCCTCGAATCCATAAGGCAAGCACTGGGAGATTACCAGGAGGAGCGGACAGACCCGCCATCCCCACAGGGGCTTTTAATGATCTTTGTTAGTCATTGACAGTTCACACAGGCAAAGAAAGATGTAGGGAGACTAGAGGTTAGGATAGGGAAGTGCCCACCTTTGGGGCCAGGCGGGCAGTGGTGGCAACTCGGGAACAGCACTGGAGCGGGGTAGCAGCAGTGCCTAGCAGACTGCTTAGAAGGGCACTCACAGCAATCACAGGAGAAACATTCTTTTCAAACACACAGGCAACAGAGTCTCACTCTGTCACCCAGGCTGGAGTGCCGTGGCATGATCTCAGCTCACTGCAACCTCTGCCTCCTGGGTTCAGACAATTCTCTTGCCTCCGCCACCTGAGTAGCTGGGACCACAGGCACAATATCACACCCAGCTAATTTTTGGTGTTTTAGTAGGGACGGGGTTTCACCATGTTGGCCAGGGTGGTTTTGATCTCAACCTCGTAATCCGCTTGCCTCGTCCTCCCAAAGTGCTGGGATTATAGGCATGAGCCACCGCGCCCGTCCTGGAAGTGTTTTAAACACCCGCGCGCGTCTAGTCTGAGTGGCCATGAAGCTTCTGCCCTTTCCTCCCACAGTAAGGTCTCTCCTCGTGGTTTCCAGGGACTCCCGTCCTCACTCTCGTCTCTGTCCCACAGGAAACGCCACCCCAGTGACCACCCTGTGGACTTCCGTGGGCCTCGCCACCAAGACCTGCAGCAACGTGTCGTTTGAGGAGAGCAGGCTGGTCCTCGTCGTGGTGTACAGCGCCGTGTGCGTGCTGGGGCTGCCGGCCAACTTCCTGACCGCGTGGCTAGCGCTGCTGCAGGTGCTTCAGGGCAACGTGCTGGCGGTCTACCTGCTCTGCCTGTCGCTCTGCGAGCTGCTGTACGCCGGCACGCTGCCGCTCTGGGTCGTCTACATCCACAACGAGCACCGCTGGACCCTGGGCCTGCTGGCCTGCAAGGCGACCGCCTACGTCTTCTTCTGCAACATCTATGTCAGCATCTTCTTCCTGTGCTGCATCTCCTGCGACCGCTTCGTGGCCGTGGTGTATGCGCTGGAGAGTCGGGGCCACCGCCGCCAGAGGACCGCCATCCTCATCTCCGCGTGCATCTTTATTCTCGTGGGGGTCGTTCACTACCCGGTGTTTGAGGCAGAAGACAAGGAAACGTGCTTCGACATGCTGCAGATAGACAGCAGGATCGCCGGGTACTACTACGCCAGGTTCACCGCTGGCTTCGCCATCCCGCTGTCCATCATTGCCTTCACCAATCACCGGATCTTCAGGAGCATCAAGCTGAGCGTGGGTCTGAGCGCCGCCCAGAAGGCCAAGGTGAAGCACTCAGCCATCGCGGTGGTGGTCATCTTCCTGGTCTGCTTCGCCCCGTACCACCTGATTCTCCTCGTCAAAGCTGCCGCCTTTTCCTACTACAGAGGAGACAGGAGCTCCATGTGCGCCTTGGAGGAGAGGTTGTACACAGCGTCCGTGGTGTTTCTCTGCCTGTCCACCGTCAACAGCGTGGCTGACCCCATCATCTACGTGCTGGCCACAGAACATTCCCGCCAAGAAGTGTCCAGAATCCACACGGGGTGGAAACAGTGGTCCATGAGGACAGACGTCACCAGGCTGATCCACACCAGGGACACAGAGGAGCTGCAGTCGCCCGTGGCACTGGTAGACCACACCTTCTCTGGGCCTGTGCACCTTCCGGGGTCACCATGCTCCCCCAAGAGGCTGATGGAGGAGTCCTGCTGAGCCCACTGTGTGGCGCAGAGGCTGGCAGGCTGGGGGTCCTGGGGCCAGCAATGTGGCTCCTGTCCACTGAGCCCTCCAGCCACAGTGCCCGTGTCCCCTCTGGAAGACAAACTCCCAACTTCTCATTTCTGAAGCCACTCCCTCAGTGACCCCTGGCCCTGGGCTTTCCCATGTGGAAGGTGGCTGCATGCCAAGGGCACAGCGATGCCTCCAGGCTGCCGGGAGCCCAGAGAGCATGTGGCAGACAGTGGGGCCTCTTCATCAGCAGCCCACCTGGCTCGCTCCCTCAGCTGTGGGCAGGCAGCAGGGCTGCTGGCAGAGATACCCAGTGGCTGCCCTGTTCACATCAGTGCTGATGACTTTATTTTCTGGGCATTTCTGCAAGTGTTGCCCGGATGCAGTGGCACACATGGGCCCTCCAAGCTCCTGCCTCAGAATGCCAGTGGGCAGCATGCCAGGGGTCACCCAGCACCATGGCAGCACCCAGTAGGGCATAGGGCAGCCCCCACCTCCAAGGGGGCAGAAGCCCTTGTCTGGGGTTGGGTCTGTGCTGAGCCGGAAGGTCCTTGGGGGCTGTGGAGCAGCGTGGCCAGCTGTTCTGGTTCCCAGAGGGCAGCCCAGGTGTCCTCCATGGGGGACCCCAAATATCCACATCCAGAACACCAGGTGGCAGGATAGGCGTGACACAGCCATGGCAGAGCCAAGGGGTGCCAGAGTCCCCAGCTGCATCCTCGGGGAGAATGCAGGTGTCTGCACCAGGTGGGGTCCACGCCCCTAGCGCCTCACTGAGGCGGGACGCAGCAGCTGGCCTGCTTGTCTGACAGAGAAAGCCAGCTCCCTGTACCCTTGGGGCCAAGTCAGATCTGGTTCTGCCCTGACAGGCCCTGACTAGGCCGGGTCACAGTGATAACCTGGTTTCTCCATCTGTAAAATGGGGCCAATGACACCGACCTCGCAGGGCCACCATTGGGGTTCATCTTCCTCCCTGCACTCAGTGTACTGAGCCAGCCGGTGCTGCACCTGGACGGGGAGCCCAGCGCCCAGTACAGCGCAGGGGCTTCCAGCGTGGCTGCGCGGGGCGGTGAGGCTGAGCTGCACTTTCATTCTATAAGGCAGCTGTGCAGACGTTCTTCCTTTTTTAAAAAAAATAATATTTATTTTGTTAGAGACAGGGCCTTGCTCTGTTGCTCTGTTGCCTGGGCTGGAGTACAGTGGCCCCATCATAGCCCACTGCAGCCTCAAACTCGTGGACTCAAGCAATCCTCCCACCTCAGCCTCCTGAATCGCCGGGACTACAGGCGTGCACCACCACACACCCAGCCAAAATCACCGTCTTTCTTAAGAGTCATCAGAAAAATACCACATGGAAAAAACCTTGTCTCTTTTTTTGGTATTAAAAAAAAACAGCTGGGCACGGTGGCTCACGCCTGTCATCCCAGCACTTTGGGAGGCCGAGGTGAGCGGATCACAAGGTCAAGAGACGGAGACCATCCCGGCCAACATGGTGAAACCCCGTCTCTACTAAAAATACAAAAATTAGCCGGGCGTGGTGATGTGCACTTGTAGTCCCAGCTACTCGGGAGGCTGAGGCGGAAGAATCACTTGAACCCGGGAGGCAGAGGTTGCAGTGAGCTGAGATGGAGCCACTGCACTCCAGCCTGGCGACAGAGTGAGACTCTGTCTCAAAAAAAATTAAAATAGATAAATAAAGAAAAAAGAAAGAATTCAATTTAAACTTTGAGTGAACGTTTTCCCTGCTGTAGAGGAGGGTGCCCCTCGACTCTCATAAGAACAGTTGTGACCAGGGACTTGAAAAGTTGGGGCTGAGGTTTTGGACCATTGAGGCATTCAGGATGCCTCAATTCATCTGAGGCAGGAGAATTGCTTGAACTCGGGAGGTGGAGGTTGCAGTGAGCCAAGATCGAACCATTGCACTCCAGCCTGGGCAGCAAGAGCAAATTCCGTCTCAACATCTGCAACAACAAAATGGTTCTCTCACAGCTCTGAAGGCCAGAGTCCACTTTCTCATCTTTTGTTGCCACAAATAACAGCTTCATTCCCATCGTTCCCAGGCCAGATCCCAGCCTGCAGACTGGGTGCCCTCTTCCCATGCCAGATCCCAGCCTGCAGACTGGGCGCCCTCTTCCCATGCCAGATCCCAGCCTGCAGACTGGGCGCCCTCTTCCCATGCCAGATCCCAGCCTGCAGACTGGGCGCCCTCTTCCCATGCCAGATCCCAGCCTGCAGACTGGGCGCCCTCTTCCCATGCCAGATCCCAGCCTGCAGACTGGGCGCCCTCTTCCCATGCCAGATCCCAGCCTGCAGACTGGGTGCCATCTCACCCACCAGTAGGGACAGCAGGGCTGGGCCAAGGCAGCCAGAATACCTGGTTCAGGTGAGGGACTGCCCAGACTGGCTGGTGTCACAGTGGCAGGAAGGCCACCAGACATAGTCAGGCGAGGTGGCACCTGCAGTCTCAGTTGCTCAGGAGGCTGAGGTGGGAGGATCGGTTGAGCCTGGGAGGTGGAGGCTGCAGTGAGCTAGGACTGCACCACTGCACGTGGGGAGGCCAGAGGGTGCTTGGGAGCAACATCTGTGGCGCAATTTAAAAATGGACACCAGACCTGCAGGACCCAGGACAGTCACCATCAGGTGGAGAAGCTCTATGCAAAGACAAGCCACTCAGAGTCAAACCTGATGGGAGGGGCAGCTACGGGGACCTTGCCCAAGGTGAGGCCCAGATGGGACCAGGCACCCAGGAAGGGAGGCCCAGCTGGCCCTTGATGCTGAGACCCTCAGGGGCTGTGGGCGGAGGGCAGCAGCTGGGCAGGTGGAGGTCACAGGGCTGCCTGGCTCCTCACTGCCCTGCAGCTGCTCTGGCCGTCAGCAAGGGTCACGGCATGGCTTTGTCAGCAGCCACTGCTCACGGACCACAGGCCCTGGCCCTGTCATCCGGCTTGTGCTGCTGGTGGGAGCGTCTGAGGTCGCCAGTGCTGGGAGCAGCCCCGTGTGGAGTCTGCGCTCACTCCCTCGCTCAGGCACCCCTCTGCGAGGGGCTCCCCAGGGCACCCCAGGTAGTGAGGACACCACAGTGAAGCCCACTGCGACCCACACAGAGGCAGGAATGAGGAAGGAAGCCCCGAGGGCCACCCCTGCCTCTGGCACTGGGCCCTGCCCTCCAGGCTCAGGCCACAGTTGCCCCTTCAGACAGGGCCTGGGAGGGGCAGCACCGGCATCTGCTCTGTCCTCTGCCCTGTCGAAACCGTGACAGGGAGAGGGGACCACCCAGATCTCTGACCTATATATAGAATAGCTCTCCCAGGTCCTACTGCGAGGAAGACGCCTGCCAGTGGCAGGACCAGTTCAGAAGCAGCACCGCAGGCTCTCCGGAAGGCGCTGTGTCCCAGGAGGCCCATCCACGCCCACCCGCCCCCAACCACCCCCACTCCGCCTGGCATCCAGCGACAGCCCAGGGAGAGGCTGCGTAGCCAGGGAGGCAGGGAGCGTTTTGCTGGGAATTCTGGGATCCTCCTGCCTGGAGTTGGTCCAGGGGAGCACAGCCTGGGGAGGCCCCGCAGCCTCCTGGCCTTGTGGGAGGGACATGGCTTGAGGGGACAACATGAGGGGGCATCGCATATTGAGGACTCTTTTTTTCTTTTGAGACAGAGTCTCGCTCTGTAACCCAGGCTGAAGTGCCATGGTGCGATCTCAGCCTCCTGGGCTCAGGCGATCCTCCCACCTCAGCCTCCTGAGTAGCTGGGATCACAGGCACGTGCCACCATGCCCAGCTGCCCAGCTAATTTTTAATTTTTTGTAGGGATAGGATCTCACTATGTTGCCCAGACTGGTGTTGAACTTCTGGTCTCAAGCAATCCACCCGCCTTGGCCTCCCAGGGTGCTGGGATCACAGGCGTGAGCCAGTCCCAGCCCTAGCGCCGCTCTTGGTAGTGAAGGTGTGAACGAGGGCACTGAATGGTGGCCGGCGGCCGCGCTCCTGAGGGACAGCTCACTATGGACAGGCGATTCCAGCACCTGGTGCCTCCTTTCTTCATCCATAATTTGGGAATGGTGACTGCCCCACAGACAATGCACGTCCGACGCCTAAGATGAGCCTGGCACAGAGCCGTGCTCAAAAGCATGGTTAGATCACTTTGCTTCCTCCTCGGTTTCCCCAGTGGGAATCCTGCCAGGACAGAGGGTCTTCGGCGAAGGGTCCGCGTGTTCCCAAGAACGGCCCTAGAGGGCGCCAGGCGGCGGGTCTCGAATGGATCGGGCGGGGTTCGCTTCCCCGCGAGTTGCCGCCCGCGGCCGCCACGGCGGAGGCCTTCCCAGGCTGTCTCCAGGCCTTTCCTGACCCCTTAGCTGCCTGGACAGGCCCTCGTGGAAGATCCGTGACATTCACGCATTCATCAAGCTTTTTATTTGAAATTTACAGAATTTCAATCCCAATTTACAGAAAGTGGCAAACGGTGCAGAGAGACCTGGATGCTCCCATCACGCAGTGCCCAGCCGTGCCCACGGCCCTGCTATGCCTTCTCTGGCTCCTGCATCTGTGCCACTTGAGAATACCTTTGGGACTTCAGGCTTGCTCCCCTAAGCCGCTCAGAGAGTATTTTGGAAATCAGCAAACTCTCTCACAAGCCATTGCAGTGAACCTTGAAGAAGCAGGAAGCCAGGGGATGGGAAAAAACTCACCAACCAAATGGAGAGCAAAAATAAATAAATAAATAAAAAGCAGGAGTTGCAATTCTCACACTTAATAAAATAGATTTCAAAGCTACAAGGATGCAAGGGTAAAAGGATTAATGCAACAATAAGAGATCTTAACACCCAGATACATAAGACACATAATGAGACTCAGATTCAACGAGACAAAAAATTGATAACGATATCCAGGACTTGAACTCAGAGCCAGAACAAATAAACACAATAGAGCTCTCCATTTTAAACACATAAAATATGCATTAACCACTTTAAACACTCAAAATATTGATCGGCCATTATTGAAACCCATTTTAGGAATGAAGTAATATTCCTTTTTCCCTCTTTTTCTTTTTTTCCCCTTCTTTTTCTCTTTTTCCCTCTAAAAAAAAAAAAGAAAAAGCAGGAAGCCGCCAGTGACCCTTCAACTCCACAGAGCCCCTGCCGATGTTCCCGCTGTCTCGATGACATCCTTTGCGGGTCTTTGTGGGACGGCCCTCCACGCTCTAGCCTTGTCCGTTTGCTGTGGGTCTGCATTTCCAGGAGGAGCCCTCTGAGCGGTGAGACTTTCCTGTCTTAGCACCCTACCGGAGGCCACAGGGCCACTCTGGCCATCGCGCGATGGCAACGCTCGTCACTTGGGTACGGTGCTGTCTGCCACCGTCCCCCACTGGAAAGTTGATTAGCATTTTGCACTGATTAATGAATAAGCAATTTTTCATCATTTCTGGGGAGAGGATTTGAGGTTTCCACTATGAGGTCAGGCTCACCCTTCTCTCTCGTGGGTGGATGTGTGTGTCTCCATCCATTCTGTCTTGCTATAAAAGATTAGTGGAGACTGTATAACATATAAGAAAAAAAAAGAGGTTAACTTAGCTCACGGTTCTGCAGACTGAGAAGTTCAGGGGGCATGGCCCTAATGAGGACTTTCATTCTGTGTCACAAAATGGTAGGGAAGGCTGGGCGTGCTGGCTCACGCCTGTAATCCCAGCACTTTGGGAGGCTGAGGGCTGGCGGATCACCTGAGGTTGGGAGTTCAAGAGCAGCAACATGGTGAAAAACCCTCTCTCTACTAAAAACACAAAATTAGCCAGGCATGGTGGCGCAGGTCTATAATCCCATCTACTCAGGAGGCTGAGGCACAAGAATCACTTGAACTTGGGAGGCAGAGGTTGCAGTGGCCCGAGATCACACCATTGTACTCCAGCCTGAACGACAAGAGCAAAGCTCCATCCCCCTCCCCCCAAAATGATAATAACCCAAGATCTGGGCACTAGGGTGCTCACTGTTTGCAGAGCTGCAGAAAATATGTGTGTCTACACACACAGGGGTACACGTCTGCATTTCCGTATTGAAGTGGATTTGCACTGACATCTCCGGTTTCCATCTGCCCCGCCGGAGGTGGGTCCAGCCCCGCCACTTTCCTGGCTTCAACTCCCGTCTCCAAAACGAGAGTCCCCACATTCTTTATCCCGGATGGACGCTTCTCCTTATGTGTGCGATCCCCAGCCCTCTGCAAGGTCTGGTTCCTGGCTCCCCTGGCAGGCTAAAAGCTGGGCCTCATGGAGGAGGAGGGAAAGGGGAAGTAGGAACAAGGAAGAAAGGAAGGGCCTGAGGTTTCACTCTGTTTGCAGGTGGACAGGCGAGCCTGCCAGTGTTATGAACGTGGGTAAAACACATGAGACACGTGGGTCTGAGACAAAGACTTTGTTACCCACACACAGCCGACAGCATGAGCGCCATTCCCCCAGCCCCCAAGCCCCGCGGACAAGGAGGAGTGGCCCTGGGGGATGCTGTGCACACAGCTAAGGACCCCTGAGACAGGAAACACCGATCTTTTAAAGGACCGCTAGCAAACCCGTCCAGTGTCTGCCTCAGAGGGAGAAGCTATCTTTACTATCTCGGACAGGAAGCAAATTGCCCTCTGCCTGCAAAGAGACACACGCGTGATGCTGAGGATTCGTGTGTGGACACTGAGACCCCAGGGCCTGAGCTGAGACCCAGCACTGCCCTTTACTCTCTGGGCCCCTGGACCAGTGACCCAACCCCTCTGTGCCTCGCCGTCCTCATCTGGAAAATGGAGACAATAACTGTATCCAGGTCACTGCTTTCTTAGGAAGATCAACAAGACCCGTATCCAATGTGCCAGGGTCATCTGTGCTGGAAGGGCTAAGCTGCTCCCAGGGCCGTGGATGGCTTTTCTAAGCAGGTGCTTTTGAGCCTAGAACCGGTGGAAGCGGGAGCAATCTTGCAGCTGATCTGGGTCAGGCGCAGGGCAAAGGCCCAGGGCCGGGAGCACTTCATCAGGTGCTCGGGAAGTAGTGAGAATCCAGTGGAGCCAGAGCCCGGGGAGGCACCCACACCGGAGTTCACTCTGAGCACCTTAGAGGGGGTGCCGGGGCTCCTGAGCGAGGCCAGTACCAACTCGCATTGAAGGGCCCCTGGCTGGTGTGGAAGTGCCTGGATTCTCAGGAGCAGCTACAAACGTCTGGGGGCGGCTAGAGGTCCAGGTGAGCATCCGAAGCCAGCGGCAGCTGGGGAGGCGGCTGCAGGTGGGCAGATTCCAGATCGGTGTGAAGGTGGAGCTGAGGACCCTGCAGGCAGATGGGAGGTGGAGGTGAAAGAAAGATGCTGCAGGAGGAACCCAGCGCTTGGGATGAGTCCCAGGTAGCTGACTAAGTGACAAGGAAGGAAACTCAGGGCGGGGGCAAGAGTTCTGTTGAGACGTGTTAGGTTCCAGTGTCCAGGAGACATTGAGAGGAGGAGGAGGAGGAGCTGGACACCCACGTGCAGAGGCCTGGGAAGGGCAGTGGAGCTGGACACCCACGTGCAGAGGCCTGGGCAGGGCGGTGGAGCTGGACACCCACGTGCAGAGGTCTGGGAAGGGCAGTGGAGCTGGACACCCATGTGCAGAGGCCTGGGCAGGGCGGTGGAGCTGGACACCCATGTGCAGAGGCCTGGGCAGGGCGGTGGAGTTGGACACCCATGTGCAGAGGCCTGGGCAGGGCGGTAGAGCTGGACACCCACATGCAGAGGCCTGGGCAGGGTGGTGGAGCTGGACACCCATGTGCAGAGGCCTGGGAAGGGCAGTGGAGCTGGACACCCACGTGCAGAGGCCTGGGCAGGGCGGTAGAGGTGCATGGGGTGACCATCGTGCACACCCCCTTTCTAAGTCCCATAAGTCGGGTGGGCTCCACCAACAAGCCCCGTCACAGTTGACCTAGCGGCATTTCCTCTCAGTGGTGGTCTTCTTTTCCCGTTACCCACATCGAGTGGTTTCCAGCAGCCCCGCTTTCTAAGCTTGCAGCCTGTGGTTTTCTGCTCAGGCTGGGGTCAGGCAGCACGTCTGCGGCTCAGGTCCCCTTCCGAGCTCACTCCCGTCGCTGTGGAAGCCGGTGCATGTGCAGGTGGACTCAGGGCCCTGTCCCCTTGTGGGTGTCATTGATGGCTGCTCCCTGCTGCGGGAGGTGGGGTGCTCAGATTCCTTCTGATGTCCCTATCCCATCTTCAAACCAGCATCAGCAACTCGAAGGCTTCCCATGCTTGGACCTCCCTGACTCTCCCTCCTGCCACCAGCCACAGAAAACTGTCCCCTTTTCAAGGCTCCCAGGACTGGGTCAGGCCCACTCAGGAATCAGTGTTAAGCTCCACTCTGCCGTGTACACCGGCGCGACCTTGGGAGTGAAACCTCCTCATAGTCACCGGTTCCAGCGGCTGGCGCAGGGGAATCGGGGAGGGCGCATGTTTTTAGAATTCAGCCTGAACTGGGGCGCTTAAAATAAGGGCATGGCTGGCATGTAGAGGGGCCGAGGAAGTAGGCAGTGACAGAGGGGTGGGGCGGTCACAGGCGCAGACAATG